TTTTTTTTTTTTTTTTCTGTTTTTATCTTTAGAATAGTGGATTGATCTATTTCCCATAGAGGGTTCAGGTTGTCTTAAGTTATCAATTTAAATATGTGTAGTTTGAGTCACGGCGGTCACTGTTAGTTGATATGAGGCGCAAAACATCTGCTTGGAGATGATTCAGATGGACCGCTGCCTCAAAATGGGGGATTTTTTTGACCTTCGTTCATTTACTGGATACCATTATAAGCTTCGATGGACTCCTAATGTGCTTTACTATGACAATTTTATCTTTCAGCCTATGGAAATATACGTCGATGATGAGGCCAAGCTGACCCTCCATGGTCTTGTACAGGTACTAGAATTTGAAATTTGGACTCACTAGCTTGGTCTTTTGAGTAATACTATTAGGTTACCTGATATCGCCTTCTGACAGCACTACATCAAACTGAGTGAAATGGAGAAGAACCGGAAGCTGAATGACCTTCTTGATGCGCTGGATTTCAACCAAGTTGTCATCTTTGTCAAAAGTGTCAGTAGAGCAGCCGAGCTGAATAAGTTGCTTGTTGAGTGTAATTTCCCATCCATATGCATCCACTCAGGCATGTCCCAAGAAGAGAGGTTTGTGCTTTTTTTTTTCCTCTCTTTGTTTTCTTTGTCCCTAATTTGTTTGATGGTTTTGGTGCTGATAAGTGCCCACTTTATCTTGCATTAAATAATGAAAAAACGTATTGTGGGTTGGTTAAAGGCAGTTATGGTGAGAATAAATACCTACATGATGTTACTTTATCCGTGCCTTTCATGACATAATTTCAAGTAGTTAATGGCGAAGAGTTGCTAAAATTTTCATACACGATTCAAATATTCTTGACTTTGGGATACAGATTGACTCGGTATAAGGGATTCAAAGAGGGGCATAAGAGAATTCTAGTAGCCACAGATTTGGTCGGCCGTGGAATCGACATTGAACGAGTGAACATTGTGATTAACTATGATATGCCAGATTCTGCTGACACTTACTTGCACAGGGTAAGTACTCTTTTTTCCCTTTTCTTTCTTTTTAACACTTTTAAGTTAGTATTGATTGACATCAATCGTAAATGTCTCTGGCTTGCTCTTCAACTTTTCAGGTGGGTCGAGCAGGAAGGTTTGGCACAAAAGGGCTTGCCATCACATTTGTTTCTTCGGCATCTGATTCAGATGTACTTAATCAGGTTTGATACTTTCCATCTACAAGATCATTTTGCCAACTTTTTGCTTTTGTGTGAGCACTTAGAAGATTGTTTTGACGTAATGCCACAGGTGCAGGAGAGGTTTGAAGTCGATATCAAAGAGCTTCCTGAGCAGATTGATACATCCACATACAGTAAGTTTATTTTGTTGTTTATCTTCACCATTCTACTGTTTGAGATTGCCTTGTTTGCCTGAAGAATGCATATGTACCATAGAACTACAATTCAATGCCGAGAGCTTTACACGTTTCTTGTCAAATGTGCAGTGCCATCTTAGAGCCATTCGAGTAGAAGGATTTAATGAAGGGAGTTTCTCATATTTCGATGTGGTTTTGTCATTCGTGGGATGTGTGGATTTGGAATGGTCTTTGGTACGACTTTGCTTTGTGTTGCTGTACTTTTATTAGATAATATAACATTTCTTGGCTTCTTAGTAGAAGAATTTAATACTTTGTTGGCTTGTTAGACATTTCATTTGGGGATGATTTTGATTTTAGAAGTACAATATCTTTGTTTGGTGAAAAATTTGCTCGCCACTTGCACTGCTTTGTTTGATGTTGAATTTGAAGATATCATGGGGAAATCCCTACGTGGGTTGGATGCAAATGAATTATTATAACAAATAAAACGTAGTAAACTCAAAAACACAGTAAATGCGTTTGACGTTGTACTGCTTGCAAAGGCAATTTTAACGTTGAACAACAAAGCTTTCTTAATTTGAAATAATGTGATGATAATTAATTAATATTGTTTAAATATATCAATAATATTAGAAAGATTTATATTAAATCAATTTTGAGTTGAATTTTAATTTGTAGTCAATGACGACCTTAGTTGTTGGAAGTGCGGCTTTCAACTTGCTGTCAGCTTAGCTGAAGGGGACATGACATGACACGGTGAGAAGTTCGTTTTTTCTCTAGTGATATTCAATGAAGAAAATGCCCACATCGAGAAAATTATTTCAAATGACACGAAATTTCGGTACAAAATAACTACTTAATAATCTTTTCTTGACTTCAAATCATTGAATAAAAATCATCCCTCCCTATATAAAACGTGTTGAGCCTAAGTGGCAGATTTTCACACTTTGGATGTTGATATGACGAAAATCTATGCTTCGTAATGTTTTTGTATTGTTTTTGCTCTGTAGTTAGGTATGATATTAAATATAAATAACTTTACACATATATTTATTAACTCAATACTCACGTTGTACATGGTTATTATTACTAATTTGTTATTAAATATCAAGACTGGCCTACATCTTTTTTAATAGTTTCTCCAGCAGCCTCCCCAAGATAGTCCCGTTTTTGTCCCCCCTCACCAGTCACGACCTAACTGGGCTTAAATAATAATAATAATAATAATAATAATAATAATAATAATAATAATAATAATAATAATAATAAAAACTGATTTTTCTTTAGACAAAGTATCATTTGACATGGCCGCAAGATCCAAGATTTCCATGGCAGCCTCTTATTATACTTGTCTTCACGTCACCAGTTTAAATGATTTGAAGTGTGACAGAATATTTATCAAAGACATTGTTGTCAACATCTAATTAGTTATGAACTAATTCCAATTAAATATTTGTTGCATGATTTTGCAGTGTGATAGCATACATGATGCATATTAAAGACATAATTTTACTATAATCTAATAAATTTTAACTTATCAATTAATTATGCTGCACGAGCACGCACACAATTAGTTCCCTGCAATTATGTTTCGAGCCCCTTAGAAAAAAACTATAGTATTTGATACAATCTGTTTTGCTATGGAGACATCGGATGGGGTCTTCATTTTGCTATGGAGACATCGGATGGGAGCCTTCATCATCTGTTCATTATCCGATAATGGTCGATTCTTGCAAGGCTCAGAAAATACGATAGTGTTCGGAAAATCAAATCGAAATTACTCTAGTGTTAAAACAATAATTGGTTGAAGGTTCAACTATATTAAATTATATGGTACCGCCACCCTTTTTTTTTTTTTTT